TTGCAAAATTTTTTGTTCTAATTCTGTGAAGAATGCCATTGGTAATTTGACAGGGATTGTATTGAATCTGTAGATCGCTTTGGGTAGTATAGTCATTTCACAATATTGATTCTTCCAATCCAAGAACATGGTATATTTCTTCATCTGTTTATGTCATCTTTGATTTCTTTCATCAGTATTTTATAATTTTCTGAGTACAAGACTTTTGTCTCCTCAGGGAGGTTTATTCCTAGGTATTTTTTTCTTTTTGTTGCAGTGGTAAACAGGAGTGTGTCCTTGATTTCTCTTTCTGATTTTTCATTGTTGGTGTAGAGGAATGACAGAGATTTCTGTGCATTAATTTTATATCCTGCAACCTTACCAAATCCATTGATTAGTTAGAGTAGTTTTCTGGTGGCATCTTTAGGATTTTCTATGTATAGTATCATGTCATCTGCAAACAGTGATAGTTTTCTTTTCCAATTTGTATTCCTTTTATTTCTTTTTCTTCTCTGATTGTCGTGGCTAGGACTTCCAAAACTATGTTGAATAAGAGTGGCGAGAGTGGACATCCTTGTCCTTTTCCTGACCTTAGTGGAAATGTTTTCAGTTTTTCACCACTGTGTATGTTGCTTGCTATGGGTTTGTCATATATGGTCTTTATCATGTGGAGGTAGGTTCCCTCTATGCCCATTTTCTGGAGAGTTTTCATCCATCATAAATGGGTATTGAATTTTGTCAGAAGCTTTTTCTGCATCTATTGGGATGATCATATGGTATTTATTCCTTAATTTGTTAATGTGGTGTATCACAATGTTTGATTTGCATATATTGAAGAATGCTTGCATCCCTGGGATAAATCCCACTTGATCATGGTGTATGATCCTTTTAATGTACTGTTGGATTCTGTTTGCTAGTATTTTGTTCAGGATTTTTGCATCTATGTTCATCAGTGATATTGGTCTATAATTTTCTTTTTTTGTGAGACCTTTTTCTGGTTTTGTATCAGGGTGATGGTGGCTTCGTAGAATGAATTTGGGATTGTTTCTCCCTCTGCAATTTTTTGGAAGAGTTTGAGAAGGACTGGTGTTAGTTGTTCTCTAAATGTTTCATAGAATTCGCCTGTGAAGCCCTCTGGTCCTGGACTTTTGTTTGTTGGAAGATTTTTAATTACGGTTTCACTTTCATTGTGATAGGTCTGTTTATATTTTCTAATCCTTTCTGGTTCGGTCTTGGAAAATTGTACCTTTCTAAGAATTTGTCCGTTTCTTCACGGTTGTCCATTTTATTGCCATGTAGTTGTTTGCAGTATTCTCTTATAATCCTTTGTATTTCTGCAGTGTCAGTTGTGATTTCTCCTTTTTCATTTCTAATTTTATTGATTTGTGTCCTCTCCTATTTTTTCTTGATGAGTCTGTGCAAGGGTTTATTAATTTCATTTATCTTCTCAAAGAACCAGCTTTTAGTTTTATTGATCTTTGCTCTTGTTTTCTTCATTTCTATTTCATTTATTTCTGCTCTGATCTTCATGATTTCTTTCCTTCTACTGACTTTGGGTTTTCTTTGTTCTTTTTTCTCTAGCTGTTTTAAGGGTTAGATTGTTTATTTGAGATTTTTCTTCTTTCTTCAGGTGAGATTGAATTGCTATAAACTTCCCTCTTAGAACTGCTTTTGCTGCATACCATAGGTTTTGGGTTGTTGTATTTTCATTGTCATTTGTTCCTATGTTCTTTTTTGTTTGTTTTTTTGCGGTATGTGGGCCTCTCACTGTTGTGACCTCTCCCGCTGCGGAGCACAGGCTCTGGATGCACAGGCTCAGTGGCCATGGCTCACAGACCCAGCCGCTCCGTGGCATGTGGGATCTTCCCGGACCGGGGCACGAACCCATGTCCCCTGCATCGGCAGGCAGACTCTCAACCACTGCGCCACCAGGGAAGCCCCCTATGTATTTTTTAACTTCTTCTTTGATTTCTTCAGTGATCTCTTCATTATTTAGTAGTGCACTGTTTAGCCTCCACGTATTTATGTTTTTTAGTTTTTTTCCTGTAATTGATCTCCAGTCTCATAGCGTGGTCAGAAAAGATGCTTGATACAATTTCAATTTTCTTAAATTTTCCAAGGCTTTATTTGTGATACAAGATGTGATCTATCCTGGAGACTGTTCCATGTGCACTTGAGAAGAAAGTGTATTCTGCTGCTTTTGGGTGGAATTTTCTATAAATATCAATTAAATCTATGTGGTGTATTGTATCATTTAAAGCTTGTGTTTCCTTATTTATTTTCTGTTTGGATGATCTGTCCATTGGTATAAGTGGCGTGTTAAAGTCCCCTACTATTATTGTGTTACTGTCGATTTCTCCTTTCATGGTTGTTATCATTTGCCTTATGTATTGAGGTGCTCCTATGTTGGGTGCACAAACATTTATAATTGTTATATCTTCTTCTTGGATTGATCCTTTGATCATTATGTAGTGTCCTTCCTTATCCCTTCTAACAGTCTTTATTTTAAAGTCTATTTTATAGGACACGAGTATTGCTACTCCAGCTTTCTTTTGATTTCCATTTGCATGGAATATCTTTTCCCATCCCTTCACTTTTAGTGTGTATGTGTCCCTAGGTCTGAAGTGGGTCACCCCGGGATCGAGTGGACCAGGCGATCGCCCTTGGCTCCTCTCTCGCTCCTCCCGGAAGGCCCCTCCTGCCTGCCTCTCCTGCTCTCCCCAGCCTCAGGGGTGCCAATCCTGTCTGGCCTCCACTTCTCCTCCCCCCTCACTCACCCCACATCCTACCAGTTCACTTGGCGGTTCCTCCCATCTCCTTGGGCATCAGGGTCCCCCACCAGCGGCTGGCAGGCGCCCTAGTTGTGGGGAGATGCTAACTCCATGTCTTCCCACACCACTATCTTGATTCCACCCCCTCCATATACTAAGTTTACATCATAAAGATGAACTATATACCGGGGAGGGACTTACTGGTCCATCGTAAACATGTAACTTTTAAACATGTGTGGGTTGATACATTTTCTTTAAATAAAATGTGTCTGTTTAATTTGTAACCGCCACAAGTAAATATGGCTAAACAGATTTTCACACAAGTCGAAGCTTTATTATGTCTAGCCTAAAATGCAGACTCTGTGGCATATGTGAATTTCCCTATGAGAAGCCAACGGGAAGAGGATAAGCACCTCAAAAAACAGGCAGTCAGCTCGGGCAGTGGAGACCAGAGCATAAGGACTGACCATTCTGATAGCCAGTCGAGAGGAGCAATGCCATGTGTTTTAAGAAAATACAGAAAAAGAGAAACTGTGATTTCAAAAAAGAGTCTCATATCGAGTATCACAACTGTGGATAATTTTCTGAATTTCAGGCATTTGAGTCATAATACATATGTCAATATCAAATACTCTAGGACAGGGGCTGGCAAACTTTTCTATAAAGGGTCAGAGAGCAAATATCCCAGGCGTTCCTGGCCATACAGTCTGCAGCAACTACTCAGCACTGCCACTAAGGCACAGAAGCAGCCATAAGGCAACATAAATGAATGAGAGTGGCTGGGGTCTAATAAGATTGTACTTACGAAAACAAGCAGCGGGCCAGATTCAGGTTACAGGCCAGTTTACCAACCCCAGCTCTAGGCTACAGTTCTTGACATTTGTTTTTAAATAGCAAGTCAAGTGAGAAACACTTCTTACGTTACACCTGGGCAGTATATACATAGGTACGTTTCACACTATGAGACTTAACACTTACTGTAGGCAGTGCACTTTGATATTCCTTATTCTGCTGTATTTTATATTTGTTTGGTTTTTGTTTTGTGGGACTTTGGGGGAACCATCAGAAACCACTACGCTGATCTCACAAATTGACAGTGAGTGACTCACAGTTTGAAAAAATTTGCTGCAGTGTGAGCAGCAGTTGGGACTTATCCATTTACTGATTATCCCAAGTAATAATGGAAACTTTTCAGTGACATACAGTATTTATTGAGTGCTTTCCATGTGCCATGCATTGGCATATGTTCTAGGAATCCAGCAATTAAAAAAAAATTGCCCCATAATTTCTAATACTGTTGTAGTTTATAAAAGGTAAATACTTACATGTGTAAAATAGGATAATAACTGTACTACCTACAAACCTCATGAGACTATTGGGAAAATGAAGCGTTTAGCAAATATCACATATTCAGTAATTTTTCCATACCACTATTATTCAAATAATTAAGTACCAAGAAGTACTTTTTAAAATCAAGTTATCATCTCTACTAAAATAAAAGATGCTTTAAGTTAAAATTCTAATTCTTTAGTTAATGAAGATGGCCTTATTTACATTATTTAAAAGTAGTACTGATATACTGAGAGTCAATCGAAGTTACAACAGAGAATTTTAATTTGCCTGTCTCTCCCTTCCCCATCTCCCCCACCCCAGAAAAAAGAGTCAGAGAAGATTTAAAGGTTTAGACTCCATCCACAAACCATGTGCCATCTTTAGATCAATTTTCACCATCAAGTGACCCACAGCAGATGATACAGGTGAAAAAAACTCAAGAAACATAAAAGATACTCCAAAATCGATCTTAAAATGATTGTCATGCCTGTTTGATCGTAAAAATAGGCCATACATAAACTTCACAAAACCAATGTTTTAATTGTTAGAAAAATTATTTTTCCACATTGAATAACTATTTTGCATTATCAACAACTAAAAGTGAGCTCCATAAGAGCAGAGATTTTTATCTACTTTTCTTCACTGCTATATACACCAAATTTAGAAGAGGCCTTGGCACTTAGTAGATTCACACTAAATATTTGTTGCATGAAAGAACAGTGAACAAACAACAATGACTTGTCAATGTGTTTATGTTTTAATATAATGGCATTCAAAAAATTAATATAAAATGTAAATAATTTAAAAGTAACATATTTAAAGATTGTCTGACATTTCTAGCTTAACTGGTTTATTAAATCTTATGATTGGTCAGAAATTAATGTCTCTCTTTTTATAGGGATAAAGAAAGAATCTTACCTTCTTTTTCTACTCTAAAAACAAAAGTTCTTTGTGTTGTAACAACTTCAAATTTGTTGTCTCCTTGAACTCGTACCGTAGATATAGCAGAAAGGGGAATTATTCCTTTTGAATACTTCTCCTGTATTGGTTAGAGAAAAAGATCCATAAAGAAGAAATATTAAAATAAAATTCCCTTTATCAAAAATAGAATGGCAAGATATTTATAAGTGCTTCTCTTTCATAATTTCAATCTAAAATTTTAAAATCACATATAAATAGCATATATCCTTATATACACTTAAGTCCCCAGAAAGGAAAATATTAAGTGCCCCTTCCAAGTGAGATGTCTTTTCACTTTTCTCTTCATCTGCAATTAAGAGACAATGACTCACATACAAACAACATAGCAGACCAGCAATACATAGTTACAAAAACAGTGGTATGTTCTTTGAAACAATCTGGTCAAAATGATTTTATGGTGTTTGCAGGCATCTGCTGGCCATCACAGGTACTGTAACTACACCAATTCAAAACTACTGCTACATATTGTGAACAAGAATATTATCTAAGAAACCAGACTGTTGGATTGTATCAATTAACCCATATTACTCAATGCTCTGGTAATGAAGACCTTAATCTCCACTGCATCACTTTTTATTCTCCAGTGACTGAAGAGTGAAAAAACATGGATTCGGCTCTTTGCAATTGGCATATACCTATAACAATTTTGCTCAAGAAAGTCATTCTTAAGACTCTTGATAATTTTCTCCGTCTGCATTTTCCTGGACCCTCCTAAAACAACTGGCATAATCATCGCCCCCATAATTTCAACTATTTACTAAGAGTGTAACATTTACTGGGCCCTGTGTTGGAAAGAAAATTCCAACAGTATTTATATGTTCAAGTGGCCTCAAAATGAAAAACCAACTAACCAAATGAGAAAAAAGTTTAAAAAGAGTACAAGACATGGGAAGTAAGAGTACGAAGATGAGAGTTCTCAATTCTGCTGACAAAAGGTCAGAGGTATTTTCACAGAAATAGTGACATTTGAACCTGACTTTAAGAAACCTTAAGTTAACCAAATAGATAAGTGAGGGGGCAGGGGGTATCCTGGCCAGAAAGACTGAATAACAGAGGTGTAAAGTAGAGAAGTGAGAGGAGCTGCAGTGTCGAGTCAAAAGAGATGAGGCTGAAAACATAAATCAAGGCCACATCATGAAAGGTCTTACTGTCAAAAGAGTTTAGACACAACTTCATGGGGTTTCTTCTACAATTCCTTTCCATCATCCATGGAACCATCACTTTTGACCCGGGTCCCAAGTATCTGAAACAACTGGTTAGGAGAAGAATGCACTAAACCATTCCATGCAGATCACAAGGGTCAAGTTCACATTCCTCCCAACGGCAAACTCCAGCCATACAATAGCAGATGGGTAAAAGACAGTTACTGCGAGCAACATGGCAGTCTACTGGGAAGTTTCTCCTCTGCCAGTTGAAGAGATACACTATACTCTCATGGTATTCCCTCTTAGTTATTTGACAGTTTCTTCTACTCTAACTCCCATTCCTGCCTTTATGTATCCCTCAAAATCCTATCCATTCTTTAATGCCATCTTCAATAACAACACCATGAAGGCTTTCCTTTATCCTCTCAAGCAGCCAAAATCAAGTAAGATACTTGAACTGTGACTTAGGAAGATGAGGGGGCAACTTCCTGGAAAAAGGGGAGGGAGGTCAAGGAATAAGTACTAACAAAATAACTTTTTCTCCTCCTTATTTTCCATGTTTTTGGTTTTATCTTCTGTCCCTAAGGAAAAAAAAAATACCTTCTTACTATTTCAACTAGCAAATTTATGTGGAGAATTCTAAAATCTGTCCCTTCCTTCCTTCCTTGTCCATTTCCATCAACTCCACTCCCGTATTTTGAATCATCAATGGGACATATAACTGTCCCATAAGCACCTCAAACTTTTAAACTGAATTACCTCCTGGAAACATACCCTTCCTCTATATCTGTCCATAAAAATATCATTCTTCTGGTCAGTCTTCAATAGAGTAGCCTTTGACTTGTACTTCTCTTTTGTACCCACATAACCTGGGACTCTTCTGACATCTACATGGTCAATTTGCTCCCTACCAGTTCCTGATTCTTTCTAGTCACATTAGCTTTACTGAAGTTCTATGAATACATTGTGGTTCTGCTCAGTCCAGTGACTCTACATACTCTGTTCTGCAAGGAACCATTTTTCATACCCATTTTCACATACTTACTGCCTCTACATCTTTCCTATTTCAGCATGAATATATGCTCTGAAGAAAGCCCTCTGACCAGTCTCTTCTCTCAGGCCCCTCATCCTCACCCAGTCAGATAACCCTAATTTAACAGTAACCTGTACTTTCCTCTATAGCAATTACTAATTCTAATTTAAATGATAATTCTTTATATTTACTGTGGGATCATCTGATCAGTACAGTCTTTCCAAACTGACTGTGCATCTTACATCTATTTTCTCCATTACCTTTCACATAATCAGTATTGCTTATTTTCTGAATGAATGAATCCTATGTCCAATCAATCACAATTATACAAACGCCGACAGCTCATTTTTAGTATTTTTCGAAATTCATTTTTTTAAACACCTCCACTGGCCTATACAGCCTACACCCTGATAAATCAATGCCTGATTTACTGCACACTCTCCTGATTTGCCTCCCTACTTTCAGCTTGTTTTCCCTCTCCCCTTTCCTGCATATTATTATTCAAATGTCATAGTTGAAGAGAATAAAGGAAACATTCATGGAGGAGGAGAACAGGATGGGTCTTAAAGTTTGCACAGGATTTTCATGGATGGTAATGGCTAATGAGAGTCAGAGGGAAGAGCAAAACCATGGAGGTGAAAATACAGGAAAAGACACACAAGTTCTCCACAGTTGTACCAAGACACTGTTGATAAAGGTCACTGCAAAGAAACACGTGACATGATTGGCTTAACAAAGAAAACCCAATAAATGCAAGTGGGTTATAATGGCAATATTAGACCAGGAAGTGCTCTAGGAATTGACAGGAGGGAGAGAATGTCTTCCCATTGTCAGGCAACCTGAGAGATTCAAAGGGGCACAGCACCTTTGGGGACAGTGATACAGTCCCTCTGGCTGTAAGTTTGTAGTGGCTGAGTCCAGACGGTGAAAAATCCAGAAACATTTATTTACACTTTATCCCCCAGGTGATCCACTGTCAAACTGTAGTTTGCCTAAGAATTAGAGGAGCTTACAAAAATACATCTCTAGTGAGATAATTAAATATATGTTGAATAAAACGTTACCATTAACCCATTTTTCAGTAGAGGAAAAAATGAAGCAGCATTGTAGAGAAAGACACAGGAATTTTAAAAAGGAGATTTTCCTTCTTCTAGATCTCTTCAAAGAGATAAAAAAAAAAATTCCTTAAAAACATAACAACTCACCAACATGCCTACAATAATGATGTTGTTTAACGTTAGTACTTATGGAAGAGTAATAGAAAAATAAATTCCCCAGAAGTGATAAAAATGTACTTAAGAAGCGAAATACTATGCTACTGTAACCTCAGGAAGTTGTAGTTTCTCTAATGGCTCACCTATAAGCTTTTCTGAGATTCTAAGATAAATCTCAAAATTTTTAACACTGTAGAGTTGATTTTACATTTCCATTCTAACACACAATAAAGACAAAACAGGAAAAGAAAAAAAAACTAAACTAAATGACACTAGGCTCAAAATGACTACATTTTTCAGCGTGTGAAATTTTCCTTAAGGAAAGAAATTCTAAAGCATCCCTTGAGCCTATAATAAACAGATATCTAGGTCAAGCTGGCCATTTATCTACCACTTTCAGGCAATGAAATGACCACAGGGCAATTCTGCCCCCAGCTGAGTGAGAACAGGGGTGAGTGAGATCTCTTGGCAGGTGACCAGATATCAAGGCTGTTGGGATGATGCCATTTTCAGTAATACAATGAAAAGGCCTTGCTGAGACATGATTGAGCAGCACTGAGGAAAGCAGAAGAAAACTAGGGGAACAGGCAACTCTGCAAACTACCTCCTGAAAGCCCAACCACAGGCTTCTCAAGTGCACATTTAAACACTGGAAGACATAACTCCTTGGTGCACAGGACCACAAAAACTGCACACCCAGCTGAGATAGAAGCTATGGCCACACTTATGCTCTCTGTTCACTGGCCTTGAAATCCCCTCTTCCCAGTCCACCAATCCATCCCTTTTGCCAGAAGGGTCACAACAGAAACCACGTCTCCTTTTAGGAAACACCCATCCTAGTGTTTTGGGGTTTTTTGGCCAACATGAAACCACTCATCTGAGTACTAAAGGAACGAAATGCCATAGGAAACAACAATTTGAATTTTTTTTTTAATTTTAATGTGAAGGTAAAGAATTTGTAATAATTCATCTTAACAAACTTTTTATCTCAATTTAAAACCAAGGCTGCATCGTTTTTATTGCATCAGGGTGGATGGGTGCTCAGCTCCTCACTACAGTTGAGATGAGCTTTCAAAGGACAAAGGGAGTGAGTCTGGTTGGACAGAGACACTAGAAATTCTCTCTCCTGAATGATAATGATATCAACACCAACAGAGCCTGATGGCACAGAATAGTTTTCTTCCTCATTTCAAGCAAACCAGAGAAGGGCACAGGTGCTAAAGAAAACCAGAGGTCAGATTGCATCAGATACAGAGACTATATTTTACCCACCCTTGGTTACAGAAATTGTCTCAAGATTCAAATGAACAAGCAAACTAGAAACAATAGCTAAGGCAGAAAACTAGCTTTTAAAAATGTTCATCTCATATCTCGCAAATGTCAAAGAGGTGTGTTTAAACCTGTCTGATGCTTTAGCGGGATCACTGCAAAGAGAAACCAATGAATACTTCTCTAAACTTTCTGTTATTCTTAGTGTTGTAGCATGCAGCATGTATTACTTTGTCTAAAAGCATACGCTCTTCTTTCTTGTAGCATTGAATAATCAATACATGAAAGGGAATCTAAATCTCTATTTGAGCCACCAATAACACCAATATTAGGCAGTGAAAAAATCACTAAATAATGAGAAGATAATATTAGATTATAAACTATAAATAAGAGGATGTGGTTAAGTGTTAAATCAATATATTAAAAGAATGTATATAGTTAAGATTGTAAAATTATATGATTTTAACTAACAAAAAATACGGTCTATTTATTAGTTGCAACTTTTTAATTAAGGAAATTTTCAAACACATAGAATTTGAAAGATTAGTACAAGGAACACTCATAACCTCAAGTGGACAGTTGTTAACATTGCTATTTTTTGTTTTACCTAGCTATGCATGTGTGCATATATATATATACACACATATATATATATAAATATACATATAGAGAGGGTATATATAGATAGGTAACATTTGAAAGACATTTGCATATATAATGACACTTCACCCCTAAATATTTAAGCCTACATCTCCTAAGAATAAAGACATTCTCATCCCTAAGGAGAAGGACATGATCAAAATAGTATCATGTTAAGACTCAACTGCCTAAAGAATATATTGTAACCACTTGCACATCAAGATATTCGGTGTGCTCTAACTCCAAACACAACCTTCTCAGCTTCATCTCCCACTAGTCTCCCGAACATACTCTATTTTCCAATCAGAGAATCTGGGCATCTCATTGTTCTCTCTGCTATCAAGTCCTGTTCTTTCTAGTTTCTCTACGTACAAACATTCTTCTTTCTTCAAAATTCATGGACATTAGAAATCTCATGCAAGAAGCGTTCCTTGATTCTTCCACACCCCTTCCAGAGGACAAAATAACCTCTCCTTGCTTTGCCATTTTCTACTTGTGGTGTCATTTTGTAAACATTTTTGAGCACCCTCTAGGATAAAGGCAATTTCTTATGTATCTGCACATCACGTATAGCAAATCCCGTAGTTCGTAGGAGATATTCCATAAATAATTGTTAGATACTTAAGTTTTAAAAAATCCCAATTTTATATGTCTGGGAAAAGTTAAACTATGGAAAGAGTTAAGTGTTTTATCCTATGCAAATTCTTTTCATGATGATAATCCAACTCCTATTCTTAAAGACCAAATCACGTGCTTAGTTTATTGACGTACACTCAGCATGCATAGGACAATCTTTGAAAACTGTAAAACGTACTTACCTTATCGTTATTGTAATAAGAAATGCTAAGGCCATCAAATTTCACCCATCTCTTCTGAAACATGCGTTTTCTGTAAAACGTATGAAATTGTCATTTTACATTTAAGAACCATGCACTTGGATTTTAAATACAGTTGTAATATAGAACTGTGTTGAGTACATCCCAATTTGATAGTAAGCAGTGTAGAGAACAGTAGGCTATGACAATGTACAGTTTTGGCAATGGTACAAAGGAAAGGAAATATGTACAATGACACTTTCTAATCAATTGCCCTAGGTGCTTTTAAAAAAGGATACTGCTAACAGTGTTATCATTTTTTTTTTTTTTTTTTGCGGTACGCGGGCCTCTCACTGCTGTGGCCTCTCCCGCTACAGAGCACAGGCTCCGGACGTGCAGGCCCAGCGGCCATGGCTCATGGGCCTAGCCACTCCGCGGCATGTGGGATCCTCCCGGACCGGGGCACGAACCCGCGTCCCCTGCATCAGCAGGCGGACTCTCAACCACTGCGCCACCAGGGAAGCCCTGTCATCATTTTTTTAAATGTAACTTGCAGTGTCATCATCCACATCGGTAAGGTTGAGTAGAAAACAAAGTGTGGTCAGAAATACTATCATGGCACCTATATCCCTTAAAGGAGATAATTCCTCAATGAAGATAACATAAATTTTTATCCTTCATTAAGCTTATAACATTTTATCTTATTTTTTTTAATTTTTGCTTTGGGGCATGCATAATATTTTGCTAAAATAACAAAGCTTTGTCAATTGGATTTACATAGATATATTATTTAATTCTGATCAAATAAGCTGTAAAGGCCCTGACTAAACATGGAGAATCATTTGCAATCATCCAAAATTCATTGAAACATTAACATTTTGAGAAAAAGAATCATATGAAAGGCAAATGCAGTTTAAAATGGTTACTGACACGAGAAACAAAGCAAAATAATGTCATCATATGTTCCCTATTTAGGCATAAAAGGAGAAAAAGATTTTCTGACTATATAAGGGAAAAGTGAAGACCCATTTCTAGTTGGGCTTGTTTTTGTTTTTTGTTTCAGTCCCCTTCCCCGAAGTCAGACAATCCTAAAGGTTTTGAATGTCTTATTCTCTATGCGACTCTCAGTGTGAACTGATACAATCTAGATACTTTTAGCCTTTATCACAGATAATATTTGAAAACTAACTTCCTGTTTAAAAAACGAGTCATCTCTAAACAAATTGGTAGATAACCACGTCTACCTTTTCCTTTTGCAGTTCTCTAACATGTTTAAGATGAGGAAATGGTATAGCTCTCTGTGGTTTTTAGAAGACTTAAAGGTAGAAAAAGCACCTCAGAAAGAGTGGAGAACTTGTCTTCTAGGCTCTTTCCTGGGCCACACACACCTATTACTCTAGTGAAATACAGTGAGCTGCCCACATTGATCATTAGCCAAATTATTCTGCTTAAGATAAAATTAGAGCAAATCTGATCAAACTGAGAAAAGCTTCAAAATTCACTGGTATGGACAACACTTTCACATATAAGCACTGAATCAATCATGAAGTAATAAGAACATAAGACCTTACAATTATATAACTACAACTAACGACCCAGCCCTCTTTCCATCTTACTCCCTCTTCCTTCTGCTTTTTTTTTGTTTTTTTTTTTTGCTGTACGCGGGCCTCTCACTGTTGTGGCCTCTCCCGTTGCGGAGCACAGGCTCCGGACGTGCAGGCTCAGCGGCCATGGCACACGACCCCAGCCGCTCCACGGCATGTGGGATCTTCCTGGACCGGGGCACGAACCCGTGTCCCCTGCATCGGCAGACGGACTCTCAACCACTGTGCCACCAGGGAAGCCCCCTTCTGCTTCTTTTTAACTTCCCTTGGCCTGTCATGTGTTCTCTTAACCTTGCAACATCCAACAGTGTCGGTTTTCATTTCCTTCACTGACTCAAAGGTTCTTCAAGTTGCCAGCATTGAGTTACAAGGTAAAGAAATACTAAGCAAACACACAGTCATTATACATTGAATGAAATCACTTAGCACTCATTTCATACTGATCTCTGTCACACTTAAAGGCAGGTGAGCAGACATCTTCCCACACAATCTCAACAGTAATTCTATAAATCAAGATTTTGTTTTAGGCCCACCTTACATGGTGAATAGTAGTAAGCTAGAACTCAGTAGTACATATAATCTTCCATTTTAGAATAAAAATAATCTACGTCTGTGGGAGATAACGGCCTTAGGACCTTCCATTAGCCCTCTAACTCCTTTGCTAACTACTCCTTACCTTTCAGAGTTCCACCTAAACCACCTATACAGACACTCCTTCCCTGAGGAGCCAATCCAAAGCAACTCACAAAGCTGTCCTCTCAAAGCACCCTCTCCTTTTCCTCATAGCACTTAACACAATCTCTAATTACATGTTTGTTTAGTTGCTTGATGTCTCCCACACCAAGGATGTTTCACTCTCTACTCTATGATCAGCAACTAACACAGAGACACATATGGCACTAAAAAAGGATCTGTTCAATGAAAGAGTGACACGATTAAGCACATATCCCCTTAGCAAAAAACAGCCAGATGACAGACAGATAAAACCTCAAATGACCACCACTCAAATAACCAGCATATTTTAAAAGAAAGGCTGCCAGAAGGCGAGAAAACTTCCGAAACCTCAGAGTTAGATTAAAAGTTTCAAAATGTGCCAAAGCTGGAAGTGAAAAAAAGTTTAGAACCTACATTTTTTTTTTTTTTTTTTTTTGGCTGTGTTTGGTCTTCATTGTGGGCTTTCTCTAGTTGTGGTGAGCGGGGGCTGCTCTTGTTGTGGTATGCGGGCTTCTCATTGCAGTGGCTTGTTGCAGAGCAAGGGCTCTAGGCGCACGGGCTTCAGTAGTTGCGGCTCGCAGGCTCAGTAGTTGTGGCGCACGGGCTTAGTTGCTCCGCGGCATGCGGAATCTTCCCGGACCAGGGCTGGGAACTCGTGTCCCCTGCATTGGCAGGCGGATTCTAACCACTGTGCCACCTGGGAAGTCCCTAGAACCTACTTTAACATGTCTTACTTAAGATGGTTTAGTTGCGGCCACTTGGACTCAAAGTTTTCTTAGAATTCCATCACCATCTGGATAGACAGTTTGAGGTCTGAGGCATCATCTAGGAACTTAACATTCATGTCCACAGGAAAATGAGAAGGAGAGCAGGGAGGGCAGACAGCTCAGAGATCAGTCAGAGATGCTACCAGGTGACAAGCTACATTTCTCTTCTCAGTCACTGACTACAAACCACACACTGCATGCTTGGCTTTCTAAAGAAAGCCAACCAAAATGTCAGCCTCTGAGAGACTCAACGCCTAAGATATTCCCCCAACTATTTTTTAATTTTCTCGGCTACCGGGTGACTATTAGATGTGTTCAGCCATTTTAACCGAATATTTTGAAAGGTTAAAACTGTTTAATAATCTATGGAAGGACAGGTAAATAAGACAAATCCCAGCCCACGTTGAAATGGAATGAGAGGTGGCCGCTGAAAAATCAAATGTTCTGTAGTTGGAGAGAGCCATTTTGCTATCCTGCTGTTAAAACATTACTTCTGCTACCATTCATTCATCCAGTCAGCCGTCAAATCTGTGGGTAACTATTCTGTGGACACTGTCCTCCAGCCATACTGCCTCCTCTGTCTAGATGCTTTCTTGCCTCGTGGCCTTCCCATATGCCATTTTCTTCATTGGAATGCTCCCTGCCTGTTCCTGACCTGGCTTGGATCCTTGAGATCTCAGCTCAAAAGTCATTCCCCCAAGTGGCCACCATTGAGTAACACATAGATCCTTCAGATTCCTTTGGTCTCTTGCTCCATTTCTTTACTTAATGACACTTAGCAGAATTTGCAGTTATATATTTGATTTGTGTCCTCCACCTCCCATACTAGATATTGAGATCCTTAAGTGCAGAAACCATTTGTTTTTTTACTCAATGTAAAACCGGCAACTACCACAGTTTCTAGCATATAAAATATGCTGAATATCTAGTGAATAAACTAACAAATACGTATATTTCTCATTGCAAGATGCTTCCTCAAATTTTCATGTTACGTATAGAGAAAACAAAATACTACTAACAAAAGCACTTCACCCTTAATTTCATTTTTTGCTTTTTTCAAGTACAAAGATCAGAATTTTTATATGACAAAAGCTTTGTAATTCATCATTAGTTTACATGTAATTTTAAAATAATTTTATAGTTAAATATTTTAAAATGTATTCTTTAACATGTGCATTTTGTACCTTCCTATTTAAAAATTCTAATTAGTAAATTAAATGTTTCTAAAACTAAATTTATATAAACATGTTTAATCTATTTTTCTCATTAAATATGTCAACATTCAATTATTTTCTGCATGTGAACTTCAATACTGAATTCTAATAACTGGCTAATTAAAGATAAGAACTTATACTTAGATCCTTTCTCACAATTCCTCTTTCTAGCAAATGGAAACTTGAATTTAAATTGTTAAACTCAATAAATTAATAAAAATTTCAACTATTGATACATAAAAGGGAAAGCATAAGAAGGACTATTTCTAAATTTCAGTAAAATTTTGAATTAAAAAAATTGGTGAACAGTAAATTTTTAAGAATTATCTTTCCTTACCAGAGTTAAATATTTTTCTCATGTATTTATAAAAATCTACTTGATACCAGGCAACTAAATCCAATGTAATTATGTAAAATTAATCTATTACACACAATTAGAGGTTTCTAAAGTACTTTAAACGCTTTCTCTGACATAAGTTATGTCTTTCCCTTAAATTTCGATTAACAATTTATTTAGTAAATGTTAAAAAAAAAGACAAAGTATAAAATACAGTGTCACTCTAGTCTGTGTTCCTACTATCACATGACACAAATTAGAACTAATGGATTATTATACAAAGAAGAGATTTTAAAGCCTGTCAATACGGAATTTATTAATCTTGATAATAAAAACAACACTTATATAGTGCTTTGTTCTAGGCACTGTTGCAAGCCATATACAAACATTAATTCATTCAGTCCTCCAAACAATCATATGAGGCAAGTAATATTATT